TCACTGCAAACCAGCCGTGCGTTATAAAATTCGGTTTTGGGTCCCACTCAACCCTGTGAAGTATTATAATGGTTCTAGATGCATTAGATAAATTATATTCATATGGGGGACATGCAATAGTGAGAATTAAGTGTGTTCATCCGGAATCCAGAGAAGTACCTTGCTGGCGCTTGAAAAGGACAGCGTTAAGGGTAAAAGTAAATCTACTAGTGTATATGAAAATAAAATAGCAATCTCTGGGCTGTTTAATCCGTAGCCATAGAGTGCGTAGGTTCCAGACATCTGAGTTTTTTACTTATGCTCAGAGTCCCGATTTTTTTTAGCTGGCACGCGTCCAAATACATTCAGTAGATCAAATATACCTTTTAAAAGCATAGGCATTGTGTTGCGAGTGAGTTCCAGACGCGTCGACTCTGAGGTGACGCGTGTGACAATGTGTGACAACACGCGCTCGCGGTCCAGGTATTGACTGCACATGCACGGAAAATCGGGACAATATTTATGGATACTTTTACAATGCATATAAACATTTCTTCACCCAAACACCTCTTTATATATACACCCCCTAGACCTCCAGCAGCCAGCTTCTGAAAAATGACAAAGTGACGATCAATTTGCACGCTGGAGGCCAATGGCTACTTATACCAGGGCGAGAAAATGACCATAGCCAACCTACACATACAAAAATGAACTAAAAGCTTACAGCTAAGGATTAGGGCACGTATTGAAGTTGCTATAAAGTGATTTCTAACCCCTCTGTTTGGCGAAGTTTGAAGCAAGCCCCCTTCAGCGAAGGAGCCGGCTCGCCGGCCCGGAGCTGCGCAGGCTTGCTCCGTCAAAACGTGACTTCCGATATGACGTCAAGTGCCAAAAACTGGTCTGGACTCTGTCCACCGACAAGTATTCCAGTATATCATCTGCCTCGATGAAGGCCTCAATTGTGCGTTCGACTTGAAAGCCTTCGACCTAACCCTGGCCAGCCGCGTGGACACTGGACTGCCACTCCTACGCCGTTTCTGCAGTCTGCCTAAGGCTCCAACCGTTTCCGTGTATAAACTGTTTTACACGGTTTTAACCGTTTTCGTTTCCGTTTTATTTGAGCGGAGGTGCAAACAGTTTACAAACCATTTCTACACGGTTTAAACGGTTACAGCCAGAGTACTACCGGGCCCTGCGATTCTGCCTTTACATCTTGAGTGTTTGAGGGCTGAGATGATTCATGGGGTTCATAAGAATGCCCGGTACAGACCCAATGCAAAACAAACTTCTTGTGGAACACGGGGGCGGGACCAAAACAAGATCTATCCCAATCGAGTAATTGATTGATGGCGGCCGGCAATCCCCGTCCCGCCCAGCCCGCCGCCTCCTTTGACTGAACCTCCCGGAGATCGAGTTTCCAAGCCAGACACATTTGGTTGGATACTTAAGGTTGATACGTTGTATAGCTGTGAGCATTATAATAGTGCCAGCCTCCTCAGAATGCGGCCTGGGCTGCGATTGAGGCTCATAATTGACTTTTCTAACTCAAACTTAGGTTCTCCGGCAAAAAACCATTTATAAACGGTTTTACACGGTTTTAAACCGTGTAAGTACCGTTTTCGTTTAATTTGCCCCCAGGTCTACACGAAAACTAAATGGTTGGAGCCTTAAGTCTGCCAGACGCGACTGTCGTCCGCAACTCAAGTTCCTGTGTGTAGAGAGCAAGACACAACGCGGGGGGAGAGAACTTCCTGCCCAAGATCGACGGGTCGATGATCACTTGGCTCACATGCAGCGCACCGGCGTCGAGGCCATGCTCTTCGGCCCAAGAGCGGCATGGCGCGCCCTCCATTCTGTCCAATAGCCGCACATAGAAAGATTAAGTACCTTTCTTCCCCTCCCCCCTCCTTTGCCCGGCTTACTCACTCACCTCATACCTTTATCCCCTCCTCCCTCCTTACCGTCCGCCGCTTCGCCCCGACGTAATCCACCTCATCGAATCCATATGCCTCTGGCTCGGCGTCCAATCCCTCCTTTGCTTCTGCCTGCACCTCCTCTTCCCGTACACCTCGCTTGTGACGTCGCACCACACGAGTCTCTCCACTTACGCCGCGGTCTTCGGCTACTCGTACTTTACCCACCTCGGCCGTACACGCGTACCTCTACTCCTTCGCCCACGCCCAGTGCGAGCACGACGGGCTTGTTGCGGGAAAGGTGGCTCGTGAATCTGCGGATGTGTTTGCGTGTTCTCGGTGCGTGCTCCTCTTTCATCTTCCCGGCCTCCTCCCTAACTTGACCTCGTGCAGCCCTCGCTGCACAGCCAAAAACGGCGCGCCGCCTGGTCCCCCCCCTCCGCAGCAGTGATCCTCTCCGTGGGCCACCTCTCCCTGGGAAGAATCTCGCTTTGCTCGTTGATCCTCCTCCCTCGCGCCTCGTGCTCGTCGGCGACAGGCGCACCTCGTATTCGGCAGTGACAGGCCCTTCGGCGCGCAGTTACGGAGGATATGTGTGGATGACCCAGCTGGAGGGCGTGAAGCTGGGTGAGGTGTTCGCTAGTGCGGATGTTATGAGGTGTGTTTTCGTGTTGCGATTTTGTTTCGTCCCCTGTGTTGCGCTGTCCTATTTCTGTTCTCCCCTCCTCTCCGCGTCTGCTCTACACTGCTTTACTTCCTCCTTCGTCCCTCCCTCGCCATATATTCTTGCCGTTCTATGGAATGATTTACCAACGGCGCTTACATTCCCCTCGCCGCGCTTCCATTCCATTCGGCTCAATTCTATCCCCCGTCCCTCCGCGATGCTGCCATTATATTCCATTCCACCCTCCTTCTCTCCTCGTTTCTGCTTCATTTATTCTCCTCCTTCTCCCCAGCCCGTTTCCACCCGCCCTTTTCCACTTCACGCCGTTACGCCGTTCTGCTTATGCGGAGCGATGTAACGCATCTCATTCCATTCCTGCGTTATTCTATCAGCTACTCCCTTCGATTCTATTCTATCCCCTGTCTCCCCTTCCCCTTCCGCCGTGCGATCCCCGTTCTATTCCCCTCCATGCGTTGTTCCGTTGCCGTTGTGGTTGGCGGCGTCATCTCATCTCATCCCACCCCACTCCGTTCTTTTCTATTCTACCCCATCCTATCCCCCGCTTTGTTCTATGTGGGAGGACGCTGCCGTGCCATTCTACTTGACTCCCAACCCTTCGTATTCGGCTGTTTCTATTCCCTCCCCGCGTCGTTCTGTTATGTCTTCTGCCCGATCCTTTCTATGTATTCCACTCCGTTCCTTTCTATCCCCTCCGCTGGCAGGAGCCGATGGTGCACGCGGGGGTGGCGGATGCGGCGTATATAGTTCCGCTGGGGCCGGATTTGCTAAAAATCCGAAGGGATGCATGATGCATCCGCGGGGAATCGAACCCATCTCATCACTAACTCTGCGACGTCATCGTTCAAATGATACGGTGCATGTTCCATACACTACAGGTGCTTCGTGGGTCTGTCATGGACGTGACCAGGTGCGTTAGTGGTTCGAAAGTTTCCACGATTTCTGCGGGTCTTTGGTGAACTGGGTACTATACTAAAAAGGTCTACCTACGTGATAATGCACCCATGGGGAATCGAACCCTATGGCGGTCCAAGTGCACTTTTAATAATGCGCTATACACTTTCATGTTTTTCACTTTTGCGCTACTTATATCATGAAACTGACACCTTTGCGCTACTTATCGGAGTTAAAAAAGGACCGAAGTATGTAGCGCGAAAAGTGCGATTCTGCGCTACATACATTCACCCGGTTAGATTTCGCGCTATTTTATTGACAGGTTTCTGATTGCGCTACTTGCAAGCTTTCGGCAATCTCGCAACATATACATAATCACTTTTTTTTTAGCTCCAAGAAATCTTCCGCTAGATATATTTCGAAGATACACGGTAGCTATAAGGCCCAGTTCCATCCATTTTCCTACAGCTAAATGGCCACAGATTGTCACATGTCATGGGATAAGGCCCGATGGTCCGATCACTCAAACACCGAGCTCCGCACATTGTTTTCAGTCGTTGCCGCAACACCATCGCTCGCCGTTGACAGCGACGAACTCCAATGATCTCACCATCCTCTCTCATTCTGAGAGGAGGGCTTTCTTTAAATATATCCTCTAGTCTATAATACCTGTTCTACACCTATGAATCACTTCAATGACTTCGTCAAACTCTGTGGAACGATGGGGCGGGAGAGGGCGGGAACGGCGGAGTAATGCCGACGAAGTGGCGACGATGCCAAGCGCCGGTACTTCGGAAAGATCCGGCGGACCGGGTCTAGACTTGAGTGACTGATGGTGACTTCCCAATTGAGCCCTGTATGTGGTGTTAGCTGTACAGGTAATTTTTGGCTGGGCACAGCTCTGAGCTAACTACCTGGGGATCCCGAACAGGGCCTAAGGCTAATGGCTATGATACAGCGCCCATGCTACAGCACGCAGTCCGCCTCTGTGGCCCTCGTGCATCGGTCCTCGCTTCCGAGGCTACGTACGATGCTGTAGCCATTACCGTGTATCTTGGAAATATGTATATGGTGGAAGATTTCTTGGAGCCAAAAAAAAAAAAAGTGATTATGTATATGTTGCGAGATTGCCGAAAGTTTGTAAGTAGCGCAATCAGAAACCTGTCAATAAAGTAGCGCGAAATCTAACCGGGTGAATGTATGTAGCACAGAATCGCACTTTTCGCGCTACATACTTCGGTCCTTTTTTAACTCCGATAAGTAGCGCAAAGGTGTCAGTTTCATGATATAAGTAGCGCAAAAGTGAAAAACATGAAAATGTATAGCGCATTATTAAAAGTGCACTTGGACCGCCATAGAACCCCGTCTCACCGTTCATTAACGGTCATTGTTGACCATTTCAATGAAACAGTGCGTGTTGCATACACCAAGTGTGCCTGTTAGGGCTGTTAGGAGCGTGGGGAGGTGCGTTTTTTTTTGGGTCTCGGCGAACTACGCTTGCTAAAAAAAATCGGCGACTCAGCATCGAACAATGCACCCGCGGGAAATCGAACCCCGTCTCACCGCTGGATATAACCCAGCTCGCATTCCAATGACACGGTGCGTGTTCCATACACCAAGGGTGCTTACTGGTGTTCTCGTCGGCCTCGTTAGCTGCGGGTATTTCGAGAGTTTTCGTGGCTCGGCGAATTACGCTTGCTAAAAAGAAAGGCCCAGCGATGCGTAATGCACCCGTGGGGAATCGAACCCCTTCTCACCGCTGGATACGCTGATGACCCAATGACACGGTGCGTGCTCTATTCACCAGGGGTGCTTACTCCCTTTCTCATCAACCTCGTTAGGTGTGTTAATATCCCAATGGTTTCTTACGCGTTGGCGAACCGCCTGGGAAAGAGAGCTGGCTGAAGGACCTAACCCTATCTCATCGCTGAATGCACTCTCAATGCACGTTCATACACCACCGGTGCGTGCTGGAACTTCCACGAACGCTATGAGGACGCGGTTCATGATTATCTGTCGCCCTTCGCAGTCCAGTAAGTAAATCCCTTACTCGAGTAATAATTGATACACAGCCTGCGCCCACACAAGACAATAACGTGTGGCCATCAACGGACGCCTCAGGCGTGGTCTTTCTAATCTCTGACTTTTGTGCATGCGACACAAGGGGACCCCCAACCCAAGATTCCGGTCCTGCCTCCTGCCTCCATCGTGTGTGTGCCCTGGGCATGAGTCCGGGACGTCCGTCCTGCGCGCCCAAACGGCATGGTCGGCTCAAGCACCTCTATTGTCCCCGTCCGGCGCTCCACCCTCCGTTATCACTCAGGAGATGACGATTGTTGTCGGCCTCACTTCGGGGAGGTGGCGGCTGTTTGGTCGTATTTGTGCCTTGTTCGAACTTCTTGTATTCGCAGAGATAACGGGTATGTCGTTTAGGCTACTGATTCTCCTGGATTATAGCCAAAACACCTTGACGTTAGACTCCGACGGATGAACCATACCCCAATATTAATGCGGAATATACCATGCCTCTTTTTTCTTCTACCACTGTGGGCGCACTGTCAGGTGCAGAACGCCACAGATCACTGATAATCGCTTCTTGATGAGGATAACTGATTTCGTCCCACTTCTCTGTGGCTCGGGCTCCCGAGTGCTTCCGGCATCCGCCCGGCCAACAACATGTGTTGTCGCTTGCACCGCGTGGTCTCGATGAGGTAGATTGTGGCGGGCAGATATAAAACATTTGCACTCTCCGTGGATACTCCGCTACATACCCCCATGTCTGACACCATCGACGTGGTTTTATCCCATCTGAAATTCTTCATCGAGAAACTGGATGTGCAGGGGGAGATATATGATGTATTGCCTCAGAACCCAATCCCCTGCCCCGTCGACCACGGTCACGGCACCTGGTAGATGCTGAAATTCATGTTCGCAAAGAGAAAATACGCCAAATATTTTCATGGGCGGATAATCCTGAAATTCGGTCACGCCGAGCCGAGAGCACTGGCCTGCGGGAGGGAGGACGAGAAACCAAGATTCTCTCTCTGGCTCCCAATCATGGAAGAAGGCCAGGGATCCTTGAAAATGAAGTACTGCTCCTTCCATCCATCTCAGGCAGTCCATTCTGATCACCATTTTCAGTCCGCGGTGGAAACCCATCGAAATCCATCTCCCACCTCATCTGGTCCTGTCGTGTCCTAACAGAAACGGCAGTAAACTCGAGCAGCCGGCATGGTTAAAGCTATTCCAGGCTCATCAAGGAATCCAATTTAGCTGGTCCAAAGGGACGACCCTCCATCTCCTAGGGGAATATGAATTCACTCAGACAGGGTCGCATGACGTAGGTCTATACAGAATGCTGGTGGATTCCACCATTGGACTTTATTATCTCGTGCCAAATCCCCCCCTTGTTGTGGCCACTCGCACGGTTCCTCTGAACTATTCCGAGATGTTCTTGAAAGCTCTGAACCTGACGGAAGGTATGAGGTATGGTGGACGTACATCTGGCAGACATGGCGAATCCACGCTTTGTTGACGGTCAAGGCATGTGGAGTATGCGCGAATTTACGTTCCGGTCGAAGAATGGACACTTGTCTCGTGGGCAGCATGTTTTTAAGGATCTCCAGGAAGCACCCATCGAGTTCTCTTACCGGACAGAGACGAATGCAAAGATTGTCTTGAATCTCTTAGTACCGATCGGTACCCACCGAAAGGCAACTGAGACGATGTGCGTTCCGTAACATGTGACGTGGTTCTTTCTGACAGCACTCTGAAGGCCAAGCGGTATTCAGCTGGATATTGGATCAGACATGACTCTGTCGTGCAGACACGATGTCAATAACCGATGGACTGCCAGCATCATAATTCCAAACTTCAATTCTTCCAAATCTACACCCCTCAATGTGTATCACGAGACGACTCCCTTTTTCACAACCTCCGAGCGGTTAAATTTGGAGTTGAAACAGCAGGGGTTGGTTGACAGTTTGGCCCTCTGTACGGCCCTGATGGACTCGGTCATTGGAATTATTTACCTCCTGCCAAATCCCAAGGTCGAGCGAGATTCAGACCCGACGAAAATGTAATGTGCTCTCCCTTACGTTGATTCGCCATAATTACACTGTGGCGGTAGGGTTACCCATGGATCATCAGGGGACGTGCTGCAGACGAACATACATATGTTTTCGAATAATGTGTGAGTACCTCCCATAATCACCGGGATAACAATTAAATTTCCGGCAGACAGTATTCACCGTGAGTCACTCAGGCGATCCAGTCCTACACTATGTTGGAATATCTTTATTGAGAAGCCATCAGTGTTGCACAGATGAAACGGGGGTACAAGGATCAGATACGTTGAGGGTAGGGAGTCTTAAGAGGCGGCGGCGCGGGCATATACTGTAGTAACAGCCAAATCTTACTCCCCAATCCGTATCGCGAGGAAGGCGAAAGGGAAGAAACAGGAAGTGAGGATTCCGTGCGGGTACGCTGCCTTGCTGCGACATCGATACGAGGCTCTCGTGTGATGCGGTGTCTCGAATATCGGTGCGCACTTGGCGCATTCAAGGCGGGCAGAACTATGAAAGTAAAAGTGCATATTAGGAATCGGCATCATGGGATGAGAGGGCACAGGAGGCCAGGGGACATGGGCTTTGAATTGGGGTACTGCGCATGTCCGTCGTTTGCAGAAAGTTGTGAGGAGGGTAAGGCACGCAGGACCAATAACTGTGCCACCTGCTGCAGTCGAGGGAGCGCTCCAGTATGTAGCCGCGGAGCATAGACCATCTTTAGGCGTGGGCGCTTGAGGAGAGTCAGCGCGGAAATCTCGAGAGACATATAGCAGGAACTGAGCGTGCGAGCAGCGCGGAATCAAGGGCCACGGGAAGGAAACGGAGCAGAGCGATACCTTAATTCAGACCCCGCAAACAGCGCGTCTCCAATGCCAATTGTCCGGGTGGGACAATATCTTCAAGTGACTGCGAGGGACCAGTGAGCGACCGCCATTCAGAGGGTGAACGTAGTCGCTTGTGGTGGGGGGAATGTACGTACAGAGCTCTCATTGGATCGGCGGGAAAAATTCGCAGGAGCACACGTGGAGGGGCAACGAGCCAAACTCAGGGCACCGCCTCTGATGGAACCAGGCGGCTCAGCGCTCATTATTGGCCCATATGTCAAGGTCTGTGCGTTGATACCGTGCCGACTCTAACAAATTTTACGATGGGTCGTTTAATTCTGTACATATTTCATTCCTAAATGAATTGTGGGTATTATACATGCACATTCTTCTCGCCATGTACGGAAACCTGGCCAGCAGCTATGTGCCACGGGTGAGCAGCAACAGCATGGTTTAAGTTTAAACCACATCGTCTCCAACGATGGCCTGGTTTAAACCATCTTGGTTTAAACCGGTTTAAACCACCCTCCTATAATCATATAGGGAGCAGGCTTTGGTTTGAACCACAGTGGTTTAAACTGGTTTAAGCCATGGTTTAAACCTTTGAAATTATCATGGTTTAAACCGGTTCAAACCAGATGGCTTAAACCGATTGGTAGATGGCACCTACCAAAAATGGAAATCCATCAAAAATGAAAGTTGTAGCCCTTATTGAGCACTACAAGGTTGACCAATTGACTACAGTGATCAACTCACTGGTTGGGCCAAAAAAGGCAAAACACTTTCGAAAACACAGTTCATTTTAGGGAATGATTGGGCCATATGTCAGTAACCGCCGGACGGATTTCCATGAGTTCAGCCGCTTTCTAGCAGTACTAGAATCATGGAAATCTGTCCAGCGGTTACTGAGATATGGCCCAATCATTCCCTAAAACGAACGGGCTACAACTTTCATTTTTGATGGATTTCCATTTTTGGTAGGTGCCATCTACCAATCTGTTCGTGCCTTAAACAATTTTTTCGCAGTTATTCACAACTTTTCTGTGATTTTTTGAGTCCAAATGATATGAATTTCCTTTTTTGGAAAGAGTCAGGGGTCGGGGGCGATCACTAATATTAAGAGAGGAGGAAAAACAAGAGTCAAGACCAAAAAAAAAAAACATGTCCAAATAACTTTGGTTCAAACCGGTTTAAACCATCCTTGGTTCAAACCATCTGGTTTGAACCGGTTTAAGCCATCTGGTTTGAACCGGTTTAAACCATGATAATTTCAAAGGTTTAAACCATGGCTTAAACCAGTTTAAACCACTGTGGTTCAAACCAAAGCCTGCTCCCTATATGATTATAGTAGGGTGGTTCAAACCAGGCTATCGTTGGAGACGATGTGGTTTAAACTCAAACCATCCTACAGTACGAACGTCCGACTTCACGCAGATAGTAGTTGTAAGCAAAATAAGTTAGATTCATAGTATGAAATACAGCTGGTTAAATACTACGAGTGGACAGCCTTGCGAGTCATATTCGGAGTCATAAATATATTCTACACTATTCTACAACAGTCTGAGCAATTCTCCGAAGTCCCACACAGCACAGGTTAGTACTGGCGGATTGCCCGAGATGCCCGAAGGCACTGTTTCCAACAGCCATGATTCATTCGGGGAATTTTATCAATGTTCCGGGCATACTATAGGGGAATGAGCGGGCCATCTCTCCGAATACGAGGAGTTCGAACAA